GTGGATATTACGGGATTTTCGTCAGCACAGGTCAAAAAGTACTTCGAGAAAGATGAAACGATGAAGAACGCTCTACTTTAACATGTCATGAAGAATGAAAACCTTGTCAGTTTTGCTCATATTCCTATGCTCTGCTACCTGTTGTGCTTCGAGATGAAGTATACCTTAACCGAATCAGAAAATTCTGATGACCTTCTTGTCTCAACAACCGACATTTACACAAAACTTCTTGAGATTTTTTAACTTAAGCACTGTGCCGACTCAGAATACAGACAGAAAGAAATTCCTGAACAATTCAATCATCCTCCTGTAATTAAGAGCACATTAGAGAAATTATCAGAACTAGCGGCCAAACTGCTACATGAAAATAAGCCAACGTTTGATGAAAGCGAGAAAGGAAAGCGAATTTGAACTGGACGAAGTCAACAAACTGAAAGGTAGCGGTCTTCTTTACTGTGGTCAGCCTTTCAGGACTGCATTGATTACAACAACGAAACATTTTAGCTTCACACATCTTACTCTCCAAGAATTCCTTGCCGCTCGTTGGTTTGTAAAGGGAAATCGCATTCCAGACAAGGAATACTCTGCAACAGTTTTCCAATTCATGGCTGGCATTCTGTTAAGTGAGGGAAACTAGGAACTGATGGAAGAGTTGTTAACCAGTATTGTAGTTTTAGAGGGTTTTGGTGGATTTCTCAGAATAAAGTGTCTGAGTGAGTATCAAGACAAAGAATTCGCCAAAAAGTTCATCAGGAATCATCCCAAAGCGTTCTGTGATTCACACGGCGACATGCATTTTTACCAGATGTAGACAGCATTGCAGTATCATTTGTATTGGACATTATCAGTGAACTAAACAAAGAGGAAGCTGGAGAGGCACAACACAAATGTTCTGATAAGTCTGTGGCAGTTACGAAATTACAACTTTACAAATCACAGCTAACACTGCCCGGAATACAACGAGTCTGTAATTCACTGATCGATGAACACTATCCTGTGTCGGAACTGGAATTTCGGAACATTATCTTGACCGATGAATGCGTTAATGTTATTAATAGATTAGTAGTAAGCAAGCTAACTACACTTATTCTGTGGCGTATGAAGATCGCTGTTACCGGTGTCGCTACTCTGTGTGAAGCTGTACAGCATCCAAGCTGTAAGCTAACCACACTAAATCTGTGGGATGTTAACATCACTGATACCGGTGTTACCAGTCTGTGTGAAGCTTTACAGCAACCAAGGTGTAAGCTAACCACACTGTCTCTGTGGGGTAATAAGATCACTGATACCGGTGTTGCCAGTCTATGTAAAGCTTTAGAGTATCCAAGCTCTAAGTTAACTACGCTAGATCTGGAGCGTACTATGATCACTGATACCGGTGTTTCCAGTCTATGTAAAGCTTTACAGCATCCAAGCTGTAAGCTAACCACACTAGTACTGCCTAGGTCTACTAATGTTGTTATGCAAGACAAAATTTGCCACGTAACATCGGAGCTCTGTCAGCTGCATTGGCTTCCTGTCTCATTTGGTATTATTTTTAAGGTTCTACTTTTAACTTTCAAAGCCATTCGCAAACCCGCACCGTCCTATATCAATGATCTTGTCAAAATTAAGCCTTAAAATTCAAGATATGGACTGCGTTCTAATGACGGAATACTGCTATCTTACCCGAACTTTAAAACTTTAAAAACCCTAGGCGACCGTGCTTTCGTTGTTTCGGCGCCAAAACTCTGGAATGATTTACCTTCGGAAATTAGAATGGCTAAATCTGTCGACACTTTTAAAAAACTCTTAAAGACATTTTTTTAGTAAGGCTATACTACACATGATGTAACTGGCATCTATTACAAAGCATTGTTGTAATGATATAATTAGTATTTATTTCATGCATTGTTGTAATGATGTAATTAATATTTATTCCATGCATTGTTGTAATGCGCAGTTGATCATCCCGTCATGGAAACGGCGCAATATAAATCCACAATTTTATTTTATTTTATTCAATCATGTATGTAGGAAAAGGATTCGAGCTATAGTTCAGAGAAGCCAACCACCTTTACATCTTTCTTTTTGTTAATGATAAAATTGATACCTCTATCAAATTTAATAG